ATTTACATGTTCCTTTAAAAGGGTTCCAAAATGGGGAGAGTGGGGGAGACGCAGGGAAGAAGAGGGAAGGATTTTCAAAAATGAATTGGCTCGGTGGAATTTTTAAGACAAAAAGCCCTACCAGTTGGTCTCAGACGTCGGAAAAAAATTTCGGAAAAAAAATTTCGAAGCACTATTTTTCGGGAAACAAAAATTCCGAAGTTTTTCCTGAGATATTTTTTTCGGAAAAGATTTTTTCCGATATTTTTCCGAATCACATTTTTCGGAAAAAAAAATTCCGAAACTTTCTTCGACATATTTTTTTTTGAAAAACGGGAATTCTGGAATTTTTTCCGAATCACATTTTTCGGAAAACGTAAATTCAGAAGTTTTTTCTCCGGAAAAGATTTTTTCCGAATTTTTCCCGAATCACCTTTTTTTTGGAAAACGAAAATTCCGAAGTTATCTCCATAGTTTTTTTTCGGTAAACGGAAATTTCGAATTTTTCCCCGAGATATTTTTACGGGAAAAAGGTTTTCCGGAATTTTTTCCGAATCACGTTTTTCAGAAAACGAAAATTCCGATTTCGACAGAAAATGATTTTTGGAAAATCAGTTTTCCGAAAAATGCGATTTTCTTGAATTCTAGCTTAAATTTCGGTTTTTTTTCGAGTTTTGAGTCCCAATTTGCATTGAAAAATCGCATCAAATTGATAGAGCTTTGACGGAATGTTCCCCTTTTTTTTGGATTTTTTCCAGACTTTTCTGAAACCGTTTCCGGAAAATTAACTTATCGGAATATTTTCTGACTTCACAGAAATATTTTGAAAATCAGAATTTCCGTTTCCCAATTCCGAGCAAGCCTCAGAAACTAAAACCCAAAGCCCCCCACACTTTACTAGCCAAAATAATTCTAATTACATGTTTTTATTTTTGAGTCCCAAATTCCAAATTTCCCCCCTCCCCGAAAAGTGATTGATATCAGGCCTCCTGTTCTTTCCTGTGTTGTCCAAGAGAGGCAACAAGTCATTTGCATAGTTAAGGAGCTCTCCCAACACATGGTACATCTGTCCCCCTCCGCAACCCATTTCACCGTGAAATATTGGAATAGACAATATAATAGATGGCTATATTTTGTGGTGATGGGAAGTAGCATATGTATTTGTTGCCACGTGTTTTGGGGAGGATGGGGTCGGACTTAATTAGAGGGTTTGTCGAGATAAGACGGTGAAAGGCAAGGGGGATAATAATGAAGGGCTTAATTACAGGGGAAGGAGAGAGTGTGGCGGCATGCAGGGACAGTAATCTCAAGTACTAATGGTCCTAAGCAGTCGTGGTACAAAATGTTGCGAAGGGTTTTTTGAAAGAACCTAGTATTTGGAGGAAATGGCTTATTTTAGGACTAACAAGGAAATGTGGGTTCGGAATTTTCAATAAATTGGTGGTCTGAAAGTAGCTGTCTCTGTGAGTGGATTCTGAAATTTCTAGCCCTCACTGGAGCCTGAGAGTCAAGAAACCTGCATTGGAAAGTCGCCATACGATGGGACGGCCAGTTTTTCAGAGAACGATTTCCAGAATTTCAGGCTCCAGTGAGGGATAGAAATTTTAGAATCCAGTCACTGAGACAGCTACTTTCAGACAGCCAATTTACAGGAAATTCCAAACCCATGTGAGAAAAAAATTCCCTTGTTAGACCTAAATTCAGTTTTTGATCCTCAGAATTTTCTGAAAAATGGTCTGAAACTACCTCGAAATAATTTTTTCTCGAAAAGAGGTACACGGGGAGCCGAGTTATAGCGCCGCTTGGCTTGGAGTTTCCCAACGAAAAATATTTTTATACCATTAGGTTGTGCTCGGCGAGTTACATCAAAAAGTCTCTCACAATTCTTCAGAAAAACCCTTTTTGGGCCACGTTTTGGAGCCCAGGATGTGGGAACCTTTTAGGAAACGATTTTAGTGTAAATGGAACTTTGGTCTTAGATTTTGGTTCCATGTGGACCCTTTTTTGAAAAAAAAGTTCTAGAGCAATATCAGCAAATTGTCAATTTTTTGAGAAATTCCCAGTTTTTGGGATTGATCACTCCCTTTTTTGATAGGAATTTGTTTTATTTTTTACGACGAATTTGATGGATTTTCGGCTAAAATCAAAATTTTTCAAAAAATCTCTTGTAAATCACCCAGAACCCTTTAGCCATTTTCCCTCAAACCTTTCCCCACAGATTCAAAGAAATCTTCTTTTTTGTCTCATCTTCCTTCTTTCCCATTTTCCCTCTATTCTATTCATTCATTGGCGTCTTAACCTTGAGAGGATAACGAAGGTATACTAGTAGTAACGGGGGAGAATGAAAAGAAAAGGAACGGTGTGGGGGGAGAGGAACATGCCCAATTATCTTCTGCCCTATTCATTTTCCCCGTGAGGACTTGACTAGACCCATTGGAATTTCTTCTGTTAGAAATCTCAGATACAAGGTTTTTCAGGCTTGGTTTTGGACTTTGAGGGTACTGTATGTTTGAAGCATCATATCTCGGTTGCCTTCAGAGTTATCAAAAAGCGGTCAACTGAAAAAATGTTAGGCAAAGTATTTTAAACATTTTACTAGTTTAAAACTTTCTGCTAGCTCCAAAGGCAAGCGAGATATGCTGCTCTGAACATGCGGTAGTTGCTCCAGTGGTCTAGCGGCTAGATCTCTGAACATGCGGTGGGTGCTCCAGTGGCTTAGTGGGTAGTACTGTTGTTTTAGATTATTTCAGCTTGGGTTCAGACCCCATTGAAGCTTTTTTCCATAAAAAACCCTCACCTTAGACGTCTGCTCATCGGGAAACACCACAAAATACTGTGGTGCCACTGACTCCTCCTGCTTCCCGGATATCCATCCGATTCGATGTCCGATTTGTGCGGATTCGGGTACAGTAAACCTGGTGAGCCCGTCTATAGAGTACGGTAGGAATATGAAGATAAAAGAGAGAATTGATAGAATTCTCATTTTGATTTTGTTTGGGCTCATCTTGGAAACATTGTGAGAGTTGAGATTTGAGGGGGTGGAGTTCTGGAAAAAATTAGAGATTAGGGAAATTTGAGGAGGAAATTGGGTTGGAAAAAACAAGAGAAATATCAAGTTTCTGGTGAATCGAAATCAAATTCACCAGATTTCAAAAAAAAATTGAGAAAAATCTGAAAATCTGGAAAAATCCGATGGAAAAAAGGTCCAAAAACCTAGATTTTAGCCTTGCCAAACCCCCAATTCAAAATGAACAACTTGTAAGTAATAGTAAAATTGTGTTCCGTTCTACCTATCCGAACGTCTTCTCATTCTATTCTTCTTGTTCCCCGCTTTACTTTTACCGTTTTACATTTACAAGAAATGGTGTAGGTACGAACAATAACATTAGTGGATGATCGAACAGTTGGGAAGAAAGATGGGTAAGGGAGTGGGAGACGCAGGAGGAACTATTGAAAATATGGAGATGGATTTTTAGACGAAATATTGAAGATTTTAAGACATGGCGGGGAAAAAAAGGATTCTGTAGACGAGGGAAAAAACCAGGTTCTGGAAAAAAAATCCTGTTGAGAATTGACTTCGCATTTTGGTGGACAGGCTCAGGTTGGGCCCCAATCGGCGCTAGGATTTTTTTTGATTAGGCGCTACTTCGATTTTGGGAAATCTGTTCTCACAAAGAAAATCCTCAACCCCTATAGTTGTAATTTTCTGGAAAGCTCCCAGTTGGTCTGGATCTACCTCGAAAATTTTTTCAAAAAGGGGTCCATGGGGCTCGACGAGTTGCATCAAATACTGACACCGAAAATGAGAAATTCGGGTAATTCGCCTAAATTTGCGCTCTGAGCTTATATTTAGCTTGTACATCATTTATAAGGAAGGTGTTTTGCCCAAGAATCTTGGAAAAAGTACATTTTGCCTTAGAATTCTTTACAGTTTTCATGGAAACTTGCCATGTAGGTGTGATTTGTAAACCATCTGATAGAGCTCGGCGGATTACATTTGTTCAAAATCTTTTGCAAAAAACAGTTTTAGGGAACGTTTTGGGGCCCAAAAAAATTCTTCGCTTAGCTTTCAGCTTTAATCTGCTATAGAATTTGGAAGCACTGTAAGTACCCCGTCAACTGCTCTTCGAAAAAAAATTTTCAGTATTTTAGAGTTCAACACTTTTCTCGTCAGACAAAAATCGGCTATTAGCTTCAAAACAAGACTTCACCGACTAAAAGATTTCCTAAATTTTCAACAGACAATAACGGAATTCGAAAAACAATTTTCCCAAGACTTGCAAAATCCGTTAAAAGGACATGATGTTGATGACACAATAGGTATGAAAACGGATAATTGCGCATCGATAAGACGAAGAAGAAGTCGGCGTCTGTCACTTTTCTCTCTCTCCGATCGGGATGAGGTAATTAACACAATTTTGGTGACAGCCGTGTATAGAAGGGAGATGGACAGGTCTAAGGAATATGTACATATATTAGGATAAATGGGAAATTGGAAATCTAGGTACTGTACGTTTAAAGGCGCAGGGGGGACTTTGAGAAAAAACTCCTAGGATGCCTATTTTTTGCCTAAGAATACCCAAAATACCTCTGTGAACCGGAAAAAATATTCTGACACAAAACTACTTTTTTTTCGTTGCCTTTCAGTTAGAGAAGCGAAAATTGAGTTTAGACATTGGGGCGACTCTCTGGTCCACATCAGTTTTTGGGTCAAAATGGAAAAGAGAAGACACATAGTACTGAAGAGAATAGAAGAAGGGAGAGATAGAGGATGCAGCAAAAAGTGAGAAAAATGACGGATAAATTTGGTAGGGGTTGGGGGTGGGGAAGGGGAGAAAATAGAAGAAAAAGAAGAAGATAGGCGACAAAAAGGTACTAAATGAAGATAGAGAGAGACAAATTAGAGGACACTGAAGAATTAGGGGATTAATGTGGTATAAAAAATAGAGAAACAAGTTTGGCAAGGTGGCAAGTAGCTAAAAATGGATACTAGGCTCTAGAAAAAAAAAGATAAAAAGATTCCACCCCGGTGGAATTCGAACCCTGGTCTAAAATTTACAAAACGGCAGTGCTAACCACTAGGCCACGGGGACAACTTTTTTTCCCAACACCATATCTTACGATGATTTGCGTATCTACACTAATTTTGGTATTCAGGCCCAAATGTCCCTTCAAAATAATAATTCTCACCCCTCCAGCTTAACCTAACAGAAAAAAGAAGACATATTGTGTAAATATTGGCGTAGCTTGTCGTCTCCCACGCGTCTGATTGGCTAATTGACAGTCTTCTTCTTCTTCTGCTCCTTTTTCTCAGAGTCACCCCCTCCCCTACCAATTAAGGGTCCGAGCAAACAACACCTGACCATCATCATCATGTAAGCGTCGCTAGTCGGGCGGTTTAAAGGGGGTACTAGAAGCGATGTAAGTCAATAAAAAAGAAAAGAAACAGTAACAGAGGCAAAATGTTGTTTTGGTCCTCCTTGTACGGTTTTGGAGGGAAGAAAACTAGAGGAGGGGAAAAGATGAAGGAAGAGTCAAGGACAAGTAGTGGAAGAGGGCGGAGGACCACCTCGGAAGAAGAAAGGGGGGGGGGGAGGACTTGGAAGGGAAAAGGGGCGGGGATTTTGTTGGAAAACGGAGGAGGACTAAATGTTTAGGGTGTGAAACCAATTTTGGGAAAAAAAAGTTATTTTGAAAAGTGGTGGGGGCCTGAGGGGTGAGGGGTTCTGCAAAACCTGGGTATGAAAAAATCTGAAATTGCAAAGAAAAAAATTCTCTATCGAATGGTATGCATTTCATATAGGGTTGAATCAGAAAACGAGCAGCGAAAAGCTGAAAAGCTGAAAATTTCAGTACTAAAAATGTGATTTTCGCTGAATTGACAAAACCGTTCCGCTACAAGCCTATATGAAATTTATGCCATTTATCAGAGAATTTTTTCCTCTACATGTTCATAAACTTACATCAACAGTTTTTGCAATAGCTGGATTTTCGTCGGTTACAAAATGTCGCGGAGCAGTATTTCAGTTGAATTCAGGTGATTTTGAGCGTGCGACACTCGATAGCCTCGCTATTATTAATTTGGAAAAATACAAAGAAACCATCAAGATACTTGTCGAAACACAGCAACATGAATACATCTCTCATACAAAAATGAGCAATTCTCACCGAAGTTCAATGAAGCACTTCCAGGGCCATACCTGCCTGGTACCTAGTTCCCTCATCCATTTTTTTTTGCGATTTCCCATCTGAAGACCTTTTCTGTCACATTCCCTTTTATATCGGTTTCTTTTCGTTTTTCGACAGTTTTTTTTCTCTCCCCTTCCCTCCCATAAAGATTTCACCTTGACGAAGGTGAACACATCATTGAAAAGGTATAAAAAAAAAGGGGGAAAGGAATGCGTCATCAAGTGAAAATTTTTAAAAATTAATAACGATGTTCAAAAAACAAAACATTTGTTTTCGTTCTACTTGCTAAAAGTGAGACCTGGTTTTGACAGGTTCCAAATTGGTTATACTTAGAGCTAATTCCGCAAACTGAAAAACAAGATGGTTATGTAGACACATTCTTCATAAAAGCGGTGTTTCCCCTTTGATGATCTCACATATATAGGAAAAAAGACATGATGAACTCGTTAAAGTAGGTCGGCTGTGAACGAATTGATAGGTTCCTTTTCTTCGTTTCTCTTTTGATATCTTCTCAGTTTAGCGGCGGAAATGATGATCATGATGAGATGCCCATGTGTTTGCACCCCACTGGGTGGTCATGGGAAATTGAGAAGTGGACCATCTGAGTGAGATAGGTAAATATATAGTGGTGTGGAGCCAAATGTCGTGAAGAGTAAAATAGAAAAGAGTAAAATAATCAAAAATCTAGTTTATGCCCAAAAATTCAAATTCGGACCAAAAAGTTAAGGCTTCTTTTGCCTGGAAACTCCAAAATCTTTCCATTTTTCAAGAAAATTGATTAATGTCAAAAATCCGGATTAGTCTTCAGAACGGAATCTTCTCTCAAAAATCATATTTAAGCTTAAAATCCTGGCTTAGGCTCCAAAATCTAATTTGGTCCCAAAAATCTAAAGAAGGCCTGAATATCTAATTCCAGTCTATAAACCTAGTTCAAACCTGAAAACGTAAATCAAACCTAAAAATCTAATTTGAGCCTAAAAACCTAGATTACGCCCGAAAATTCAAACTTGGACCGTAAAACCTAAGGCGTCTACCCTCTGAAAACTGTAAAATCTGTCCACCTTCCCTATTGTTTTCCCGTCATAACCATCCTTCCCTAACCCCATTTCCATTCGATGTTATCACATCCCGAATCTCATTTTCTCATGGTTTTGACCCCAAACCTAAAACATCTTCAGTTTTCCCACACTTTCTTGGATTTCTTCAAAAAGATGAGTCCCTCCCTTCTCCCCCCTCCCACTGGACCCCATCAAATGCAAATGATTGCCCAATTTGTCCAGTCTCTTCGCTTCTAATCATTCGTCTCGGACATTCATTTTTGGTGGATGGAAAGAGAAGAGAAGGGGAAAGGGTTCGAGTAAATAAAAAGTGAAAATGATGACCACCACTCATTTATTTTTATACACTATTCTCAAGTGCTCAACCCCTAGAGGGGGGGGGCTTAGAAAGTGTATAGTTTTGGAATTTGATTAGTTTCAGGTTCTTGAAGAAGTTGACAGATTTTGGAGTTTTCAGGG